AGGCCAAATCAGGTACATAGTGGCCTGCTAGATGGCTGGTTTAAGAGTCCAATGCCCATAAGGAGCCCAATCCCCAAAGGAATCATGACTCTCACACTGCAGCTGCCAGACTCGAACCTTTGCCATTTTGTGCAAGTATACCACCGTAAACCAACTGTGCTATGCCCTGGGGGATGTATTAAACATTAATTAATTGCAATGTTCATTTTCTTGGCAAATTTACAAGATAAAGTTACCTATCTTCCTTCGAGCATATTGATGTTGTTGCATGATGTTTGTCCAATTATCATCACCAAAGGATTTCTAGATACTTGACTATCGACTACCATAAAAGTACGAGTGAAGTTGAGCATATAAAAAGTGAATTGGATGTTACATATTATAAGTTAATGGGAGCGTTTCTTTTCTAGGAAAATTTACAAGTTCAAGTTATCTATCTTCCTACTACCATCATTACAAATTATTGGTCATATTGCCATTGTTGCAGAATGTTTATTCCTATTCATCATTATCAAAGGATTTCCAGACATCTGGCTATCAACTACCATAAAAGTACGAGTGAAGTTATGCATACAAAGTTTTATTGGATGGAGGAAGATTTGAATCAATTTAGGGACCTCGGTTCTCAGTGGTACAAAGTCCGCATTCAAACCCAAAGAGCCTTTGGCCTCCTGGGAGGTCAGGGGTTCAAACCTCACCAAAGATGAAGAGTGTGTGTGAGTTTATTTGTTACATTTTCCGTATATAAATATTATATACTTCAAAATAAGTCTCCATTCAAGACCCCAGAAAAAAAAAACTGGAACCTTATACGAGACATACACACAGAAAATTTAGTATGTTTCACTTTCACTTAGACTTCACCTGATAGCGAGCAGTAACCTTCTCACGAGCATCCACATACATATGAACCTGGAAAGAGCATCTCTGGTAAATTACTAATAAGATAATCAATGATATAAAGGTGTAGCATATCATTTTTGCAGATGCTTTCAAATATATCTCAAGACCAGTACATTATTTCATCATGACCAACCTTTCTAAGCGACTCGGGTATCTCTGCCTTCCTTCGGTGAAGAAACAATCCTGAAATTCCAAACAAAATTATACAACTATATTGACATGGGTACTCATTACTACAGTTGAACAAGTAAAACTCTTTAACGAGAAGAATAATTACCAAGTGTTCGACGTCCTTGAGGATCTTCATCATTAAAAGCCTGAACGCTTACCTACACAACCAATTTTGGTCAAAGAAAACGAAAAATTGTGAAAAAACATCTGAATTTTGATGCTACAAACATACCTTCCACAAGGAACCGGCATAGAAATGCTCTGGAGAGTGTTTGACTTGTCCATCGTTGAGCCGATGAACTTCCTGAAATTCCACCCTATTGGACAAAGAAAAGGCTGTCAGGTGATGGGCAAAAGTGCACAAGAAAGAAGCTTCAGGTGTATTGCATGAAAAGACTAAAAGACAATAAAATTTGATGCTGAACCATAGATAAGACAACAGTCTTCCCACTTTGCTAGACAATGCAGAAACAGCCTCTCTACCCTTTTGAGATAGAGGAAAGGTCTGCACACATCCTACGATCCTACTTTCGAGTGGGATATATTGGTTCCATTTAGTTTGCACGTTGCTAGACAAGGGATTCGTTTAAGCGACATCCAAACAAAAGGCTTCAAGCAAAATGGCTATTCTATCCTTGGCAACTATTGTTGACCCTGCACTAGCCATGGATTCTACATATTCTATCTGTTATTAGTTATCATTCAGTCTCCTTTGTACCATAAACCTATTACAAAAACATCTAAATGCCAAGGGCCCCCAAGCATGCACTTACAAGGACTTTAAAATTGAACCAATGCTAACATTTGTCACATACAAAAACAATCTCCAAGACAGCTAGGCAATTGCCTATTATAAAATTGAAAAAAAGTTGCCATATATACACAAATGGAAGGAAAAGCAAGCAATATGCCATCAAATAAACTTACTAGTCAGAAAACAACTTGGAAACACTGTTCCTTTTGAGGGGTAGGATGTACACAGACATTTCCTCTGTCCGAAGAGGTAGAGAGGCTGTTTCCATGCAGACCCCCAGCTTGCGAAAAAGTTTTGTAGGGACAAGATTTGTCGAAAAGATTTTGATAAATACAGCAGTTGGCTGTTACTGAAGAAAAGTTCTTACCAGGATGGCTTGTGGGATGTCATCATACATCTTTCCAGAATCATGACTATTAAAGCTAGCATTATAAGATCTGTAGATGCAAAAGCAAATAAATAACTTACGCAAAGCGGAAGGGAGGGAAGTGACTTAGAGGGGTTTTCATATCCAACGATATAGAACTACTTTCATTCTCCCATTCAACTCCAATAGCATGCTCAGACGAATCCATCACCTGCACAGGAATGCCACTGCTACTTGAGCTAGCAATTGAATGCCCAACTAGCCTTCCATTGACATCTGCCTCATACCCTCTTTCTATTTGCTCGCCATGAACATTAGCTGTGTTGCTAGTCCCTTGGCTGAGCCCAACCAAAGCAGTCAACCCATCACCAGCATGTTCCCCATTGTGGTCAGCTCTATTTTCTGGATCATCATTACCAAGAGACTGCTGGCAATTTCTGTTACCCATATGAAAACGCACACGAGAGAAGACAAAGCGTGGAGGCCATGCAGTTGCAGGTACACACGTGGATCCACGTCCAATTCCTACCAACCCATTAATAGTTCCCCTCACATGCACTCGTACAGGGCGAATGAGGCCATTTCCTTCACCTTGAGAAGAATCAGTCACATACACATCTCCTATACCAGTAGCTGCAGTATTCTGATCATGCTCTTGCATGTAATAACCAGTTCGTGCAAATCCATACTGCGGCCTGCATTGACAAGCCATGCTAACAAGACAGCAACTTTTGCAGGTGTCTGCACCAATTTCATGCACCCGTTGGCTCAAAAGTGTCTACAAGATAACATAAACACATGTAAGCTCAGAGAAGAGGACGGGTGGGGGAGAAAGGGAAAACAGGGAAAGTAAAGCTCGTAAAACACCAACTTTTTATAATGCTTAAAACAGAGAAAATGGGGTGAGAGCTAAAGTTGATTCAGCACTTTGTTCAGAGGTGGTTACTGTAATATGCTAACCTTGAAGACTGGATTCAAAGTTCTTGCACATGTTTACAAGTAAAGCAACAACAGGACTATGTTGTTTTCACTAAAGCAGAGGATACAATAAATTAAATAAGAAAAGATTAAACAAGTTACGGTTGAAGACCTGCAGCCAAAGACCATCATTAATAGATTTGCAGGGGAAACCCAATTCTTCTAGTTGCTTCCTCACATTTAAGAGCGCCTCAAAAGTCATGTTACAATACAAAAGAGAACCTCCTTCAAAAATATTGACAAAGGTGTCGTATTCATCACTGCTCAATCCACAAATCCCTTTGGCACAAGTCTTCAGTTCTCTTCTGCCAACAATTCTGCCACCCCATGACAGGGGCATGCCACATCTTCCCCATTCATTTGACATGAGATCATTACATGAGCTCATAGCATTACCAAATTTTTGGCCCCCACCAAGCCAGCTATTATTGTTCAACTGATAGCAAGGACCCTCTTCAGATGGCCCTTCCATCGCCATGGTATCGCCACCTAGCATATTGACTCCATTACCAAATGACACGTCTTGATAAGAGGAAGAGTAGCTCATCTCATTCGTACGAGGAATGGCTGTAGCCTGTTCAGTGTTACACTGGCATCTTGACTCCATATTAGACTGATCGCCTCCAGATTCTTGCACTTGTCTTTTGGAATCAGTTGGCCCGGTCTCGGAATCTACAACCCGGTCTGCAAGCTCAACTAAAATGGTTTGAGCAGTATCACGACCTTCTCCTTCATCCTTTAAACTCAAACGACCTACTTCAGGTGATGCTATTTGATTATTAATGCTGCTGATCGGATTCTTCCCCTGCGCTTTAGAAAAATCAGGATGGGTATTTCTTCCCATGGCAGAGATGGAACCACCTTGTTCCGGAGGTTCTCCCTTACTAAATGCACCTTTTGAGAGGAGGATGTATAATGCCAGTTCGAACCTTTATCAAATGGTATGTGAGACACTCAGAAGGCACATATAAAAAAGTTAACCAGGAGAGGCAAGAATGTCCCTTACCGTTTTTCTTCACTCGGGACCCAAAGTTCATCCGAGGTCAATAATGCATGCAATGTTTGGGAGGAAAGCTTTGGAAGCACCTGTCAGTAAAAAGATGATGATGCAAAACATCTGTGAGCTCTCTATAAAGACTACATTGCAGCTTACAACATCAATGCTTCAGAACTAATTCCAGAAGAATAAACCCTTCCAAAATTATAGAACCTTATTCTTTGTGATGGAAAAGAGATAGAAGCAAAGAAAAGAAGACAGACACGTAGGAGGTCCAATATGGTTGGAAGTCAAATGGGTCATGATCATTTGAACAGAATAACACTCTGATCATTTACCAGTGACACAATTTCAGGAATATTAACATATTAAGAATAACAAAAAAGTAGAACATATAATATAATGCACATAACTTGTTAAGTGGGTAAGTGAAAAATATAGTGCTAGAGTTTTGTTGATTAAACAGCCAGAAGGAAACCCCTGGGACTACAATAATATTAAGTAAATGCATGCATAAAATTCAAAAGAAATATGAGTGGAAAGAAAGAGGTCATATTAGAATTCTGATGAGTACTGGCAAAATTGCTATATTTTGAGTTTAGGTTCCTCACAGTTCAAAGTCTCTTACTTTGAAGGTTTGCCAGGTGGCTCCAGCAGATTTAACTGATTATTGGTAGTTGCACACCATTTGAAACAGAAAAGGAAACGAAAAACTAGAGTATTTAATTTGACCACATCTGCCATTATGTGCTCAAGAAACTTTTGTCATACAACAAATCAATCTCATTCATATTTTCTTGTGCCATGGATCAAGATTTTATGAATTCAGCAAACATATTCATTAGCCAGTAGGCAATTACTTGGTTCATCACTGGTCTCCTGTATAAGAAAGCGGATTAAACTGTCACCCAAACCAGGAAAACAAGATTGTTGAGTCACCATGAATCAAGAATGGTATTACTAAAACACAAACCAGGCCATATACTTTAACTATCCTGAATAGTGATTAGATTTCCTTTCTTACTTCTTTCAACTCCATGGCCCCACTCTGACAAAGATAACCCCAGCAAGCACTTCTAACACGTTCTCCATGTATGCCGTAGTCTTGGCCCTCTGCGAACACCTACAGTAAACAAGTGCTAAACAATGAAAGATATGATATCATAATACAATAATAAGAAGCAGTACTCTCAAACCTGATATGCTAAGAAGTTCGTAGTCCAGAGTTCTGATATAATGAAGTCAGTGCAAATTGCACATAAATCCTGCAACAGAAGTCAGGGAAGATTAAATTAAGCACAAAGGAAAATTATGTTCGCACAATCAATTAAGAGCTTAATACAGGGATCCATGGATGAATTGTCCAGAGAGTATTACAGGAGAAATACTAAGAAGATACATATAGATCTTATTTTCGAAGTACTCTTACAGAACATGGTATGAAGAAAATCAGACTCATATTTGCTTTATGCCCTTTTCAACCTTTTCCCACTTCTTTTCAAAAAACTTGCCCCTTTCATTATCTCATTATTTTAGAAATAGATCCAACTACATAAGACAAGTACACTATTGAAATGGTAAACATTCATCAAATTGATATGTGGGTTGAAAGGTTGTTGGCATCAATGAGTCAAGCTATCCGCTCTAGCAATTATCCTCCTGAAACCATCTACCAATAATAGAGTGGGGAAATATTGAATAATCGACAAGCAGGGATACCTGAAGGTCAAGAAAGGAAGCAGCCGCAAGAACACGGAATGCATTACTGTCATCAAGTTTAGGGTGATTTCCATAAAGGTATGCCAAAGCTATAGCAATCGCCTCTCTGTTAACATTGTTGTCATCCACATGCAAGGTCAAAACTGGTGCATTCGCATCTTTCCAAGGACCATGAAGCATGTTCCTACAGAGCACAAGGAACAACCTTAATGGCATGACCAAGTATTTAATCAAGAAAGAAGCAAGAACACTTGGATGCATCAAGTATACAATAACACCAACCTCTGGGAGAAACCACATGATGCTTTTCACATGATTTGGTTTTCAGTAATGGGATTATCCATGTCCATAACAGTATAATAGACTATAGATCGAGCTTTCAGATCTGATTTGTTAAAATTTTATAGGATTCATCATCAAAAATATTAGCATGGTCGAGGCAACTAGAAGGAGAATGTATAATAAAGGCAAAAGCATAGTATTATAAGTAAAAGAAGATGAATTACCCCATGTACATAAGGATGAATAAGATCCACTACATCAATAGGGGTGACTAGTTTGAAATCTACATAAATTCATTGAAATGAAAGGATCAATAGTGTGACGTTGCATCTTAACTGAATCGCATCACAGCTAGATGAGGTCAAGTCTATGCATTAAAGATCCTTATCAACCATTAAGCTCCATCGAGGAAGCACAGGAACAGGTATGTGTTTGACATGTTCGAAAAATACTAACATCTGCAACATATATGTTGTATTAAAAGATGTGAGAATGTGTAACCCCATATTAGTCTCCAAAAGAGCATGTTAGGGGAGAAGGGAGGTTCCAACATGTATAGAGGAGAAATGGTCAAAGTCTAGCCGATGTAGGACTCCAACATGCCCCCTCCAACGGAGACTAGACAGTAGACAGTCACAGATTATCCAAGAGTGTCGAGAGAGAGTTAGACGGGTAGGGGGCTAGAAAAGTAAAGAATGCCCAAGAGTGTCGAGTCCCTAGAGTGGTAGACCTTGGCTTTGATATCATGTGAGAATATGTGGAACCCATATTAGTCTCAAAAAGAGCCATTTAGGAGAGAAGGGAGGTCTCAACATATAGAGGAGAAATGGTCCAAGTCTAACTGATGTGGTACTCCAACAGAAGATTATATAATTTAAGAAAGCATCACAAAAAATTTAAACTCATACAAAGCCGATCATCAAAATTTAAACTCATACAGACATCTGCTAGACTCTATTGTAATTCCATATTATAACCAGACCTACCAATATATTGAGAAAAAACATCGAAAACAAAAAGAAAAAGAGGCATATAGCAGAAACAGAGGAGACAAGTACATATGTATAAGAAACTAGCGAGGTGAAGAAAGAAGTGAGGAAAAGGTTAAAACCTTGATTATTTGGGGAGTTAGAGAGTGAATACTTTATGTTTCCAAAACTGTAAATGTATTGATATATGATGTAGTCGAAGCGTCTTGTTTCCTTTTTGAACATGGAAGTATGAGAAGCCATGAAACCACAATTTATAACCATGAAAAATAAATCAAAGCCTTCAGATACGTATTCGGGCATTCAGCCACACTTGAACCCAAGTTGCACCAAGTGCAGATAAGAAGTCAAGTATCTATGCTTTATAAATCTCCCAATTATTTGAAATATGTTCTGTTTCACCTGGCAACCTCCATTTGGTTGTCAGTGTTCTAATTTGTGTTAATTATATCTTTCGTGAACATTGTATTAAGAAATCACATATTCCAGTAAAGAATGAATGACTTCAAAAAAAAGATGCATATACTTGTAGTCTAGACTATGCAGATGGAATAGATTGTGACCAATGAAAGAAATTAATGCCTCAATCCTCATAATCGAGTAATCATATGCATGAAATGTGGAATGTCATTACAGATATGAATGGAACTTGGAGTTTATATTGATTATCTGTTATTATCATGCAATAGCTAGGAATGGATCCAAATCAAAATCCCCTGATAGATCCAAAGGAGGGCCAGGAAGTAATAGTTCAACCCCAAGCCAGAATTCAGACATTCCAGAGACAAATCTTAGGGCCTCAATCATGTCAGATATGATGCAACCAATGGAAGTGGCTATGAGTAAGCAACATGCAGTGTTTGCAAATATGATGGAAAACCGAGATGGCGTTAACTGTACGCAAGAAGCAGCCGCATAAAAGGTGGAAGGAACCTGGCAAAACATGACTTAACGAATAGCTCATGCCAAAATTTCGCCAAAAATGATAATCTATAGATGAGGATGTCACAAGTTAAAATAACTGACAACTAAACACAGATGACTATGGAACTTATAAAGATTAACTAAAAACACTCATACAGTTCATTGCTAAAAGCCACTTTGAAGGATGTTAGGCAAGCATATATCAACCTCCATTCAGATATCTGGAGCCTGGAGGTAAAGACTACTCCATTGAGTGACAAGCAATATCACACAGAAATGCAGGATCATTCATGGATCATAATCAAATGAACTGTAAAGTAACATTCTTTCCAACACGATAACCACTCGGCATGCCAACCTATGGCAGGGACCCTCAGCATTTCCAGCAAGAAAACATCTACTCCTAACGTTTGACGAAAACAGTGAACTCACCTCTTACTTCATCATGTATGTAATGCAACTCTTACTTGATTGTATCCAAAAGTACTGCCTAATGTGATCCCAAATGTTGGTTGTTGTTAGAGGTAGCTATTCCAGACATTATTTTACCCCATATTATTTTATTAGTCTCAGCAACAGCCTGTTGATGTACTCTATGTACCGGATTCCCCAAACTAATATTATCACACTTGCTCTAAATTTTAAAATGGTACTCTATATCCTGGATTCACCTCACTGAGCAGCAGCTCACTGCATCACCACTAAAGGCAGTGATCATAACCTAATTCCACCAGCAGCCAACAGCAACAGGCACTGTTTCATCCCAAACCGTGTTTTCACTTCTTCATCTGATCTGACCACATAATTTCTAGAGTAAACTTCAAAAATCATCCAGGTCGTATTGCTTAATCAGCAAATCTACTCCAAACTTTCCATTTGTTGCATTTTTGGTCCAAATTTAATTTTTTGTTACGATTTGGTCCCATCAATATTTACCCCCTTCCAATATTTCACCCAAAAAAACCATGATTTGTTGAACGTAGTTATTTCCCAACACTTGGATTGCTGGAAATGTCTATGAAGCGATTGCAATGTGATGCTTCAAGGATTAAATGGGGCAGGAATGATTATGAAATGGGTCGGTTGATTAAATGGGGGATGAAAAGGCTTTATTCTTCACTCATCCCCTGAAAGTTCTCGCACACACAGGCACATGATGGTTGCACAAGCACAACCTCACCATCGTCACCAGCCCAGAAGAGGACCACTGCCTCCTGGATGGAAGTTGTAGAACCCAAGCCTCTCTGACAACCTGGCCCACACAGATGGCTAGACGTGGAATGGCATACGTCACCCCAAGAGGGAGAAATGTTTGTACCCATGCCCGCCTAGACCGTCTGTCAACACAGCAGAGTCGATCACTGGCACTCCACGAACACAGTCGGAGGATGAAGTGCCCAGACCATTGATGAGTGACTGAGCACCCAAATCCCAGAAAGGTGAAGATGAAGCTGCTCTTTAGGGTTTTTTATTTTTTGTTTTTGATACGCTTATGACATGAATGTGAAGGAAACCTCACTGAGTTGGGTTTTCTATTGATTTGAAGATATGTTCCTTCTATGGATGATCATTCACATGTTACTTTGGTTAACATTATAAATTTTAGAAGCAAATAACTTCAATATTTTGTGAATCTTGTGCTCGTATTAAAAATCAATTTCATTTTTCAATCAATACCCTCCAAGTGATAATGAGAATGCAGTTCTATCATCTGATTTTGTTAGATAGATGGCTACCAATGGGTTGATATACAAGTATTCTTGATTAGATAGGTGGCCTATCATTGTTAATTCATCATAAATGATGCAACTGTTAGTGCAAATCACTACATGTCCTCCTTTGTGTGGCAGTGGCATCTTGTATGCCATCTTGTACCACTTTGTTAGTCTATTTTCCCTAGAAGTTTCTAGCATGATTCTTTTATAGCAGACTACCCACACAATTTTGATTCCTACAACGTTCATGAGTCAATCATATGTCCATAAAGGATATCAATTTTTTGTTATAATCCCTCTTAGAAGTTAATTCATTTCTCCAAAGTAACTTCAAAAGTATGAGTTCTGCTTGATCTCGGGGTGCCCTCGCCTAATCCATAAGTAATCCTTTTGGACTACCTTGACATTATGGTAAAAGCATCCTCTAGTCTAGGTACGAGAATCTGACATCACTTCCAGGTACAACATGAACAACCAATTGTTCATACTCCGGAAGTGTTTCAAGCCAAGCCCAAGCCCTAGCTCTAGCTCAAGCAACTAGTTGGCAAGACCATCAATTAGCTCGGTCAGCCTTCTCATAGCGCCCCTTTTGTCGAAAGAAACATCTTCCACCTACTTAACTTGATTTCATACATGTTACCTCACATACACAATCTATTTCCATCACAAGTTACTCAAAATATTACATTTCGTATCTTGTGCCCCACTTCTCCATATCCTCATAGTCAAATATAAGGACACTTGTAATATTTCCATCTAGAACAAAGAACTATATTGCAAACATTGCCTTGTCACCCACACAAATATAATGCTTCCACTACTACATTTGAGAGTTATTAAATTCAAACAAATGTGTCAGTCACCATGAACATCCAAGTTTGTACAAAGTCATGCAATAGGTTTTGGGATCTCTTCTCTATGTGAAGTGTTCTATAGGTCGCAAATGGTGTTGACAATGACACTTTGATCTTCTCATCACCTTAAAGATCATATTGTAGCCAATAGCTACCCATAGGCCTATGAGATTAATTTGGCATTGTTCCTCATTAGCTAAAAGGTCTTTATTTGAATTTTATTGCTCTTCCCACAATCCCCAAGTTGTTATGTAATTTATTGGTTAATGGCTTCCTTAAGAAGGATCTTTACATGGATCAGACACGACATTTTATTCTCCCTAAAGAGGCTTCAAACGTTTCTCGACTTCCTAGAACTTTACAATGTCTTAAGCAATCTCCAAAAGATAAGGTTGAGTGGTCCACATAGGACCTTCACATGATTTGGTATATTCATAGTGAAATAGATATCACACAAGCACACACAAACATTGCACATGCATATATATATATATATATATATATATATATATATATATAATTAATAAGCATACATGTAAAACATAAGAGACACACATATATGCAAGATTCAGTAAGCAAGGACTTGCAATGTGGGTATTAAGAGAGAATGAGAAATCAAATGACCAGAATTACTCCTTTTTGTATCCAGCCATGTCTTAAGGCATGATCAATATCATACCCGCGATCAATTTTAGGTGCATTTGTAGCACCCAATTCTCAAGTATAAATAGGTTGAAGTGTAGGAACTAGGAAGCAAATGAATTTTCTAGAGAAATGTATAAGGCTTTTTGGAAAGCTGGATCTTTTAGAGTTAGCCGATGGGATACCACATGTCCAGTGATTGTCATCAAGTGGGTCACGGTTGCTACCCACACTAGCCACTTGAAATTTTTTCAAGAGCAGCATCTTATGATAATCGAAGATAATGCAAAGTAAGACCTCTACATAATATCGCCATTGCAAGATACACTTCTACACAAATGTTGATTACAGGATGCCCAATTATGTAAGAGTATACCATTGTTACATTCTCTTTGCAGACGGTAACCTCATGTCATGGAAGGGCAATAAAATGATCGTTGTTTTTCGCTCTAGTGCACGTCAAACAGTCAGCCACAAAAGAAAA